GAAGTCCTGTGACAAGGCCTAGTGGCACTGGCCAGGATACTTATCACTCATGAGGATGAGGCAGGATGATAGTTGAGTTTGGGGTTAGCTTGGCTTTGTCTCTGAAAACAACCCATCCCAACCACACATACCCACAAATAAAACACCTCTGCTTACCACACACACACACACACACACACACACACGCGCGCGCGCGCGCACCTATACACACCTCAAAACCACATTCACAAATCTTTAACAGTTAAACCCCGCCGCCTATACACCAAACTGTTTACTGAACACTCCGTGTGGGCATTTCCCAGGTACTCTGCACACCCTTTAACATAGATGCTATCGTGACCCCGTGGTACAGATTCAGCACAGGAGTCCCTGCAGGTCACTCGTCTCAGGTGGGGCCCAACAACGTAATTCCAGAAAGTGACCTGTGCATGTGTCTCCCATGGCGGGGACAGGCCAACTGCGGCCCTTCGTGCACAGGGAAGAGACTCTTTAGACAGACGCTCAGCCTACTGCAGGGTTCCGCTTGTACCTGAGACACCACCACGTTCCTGAGCCCAGAGTGCAGTCAACCTCCCGGGACCCGTACTTTCATCGGTCCCGCGCTTTCCCGAGAGAGAGGCGGCCCCAGCATGCACTGCGGCGCTCAGGCCTCCCTCCCCCTCCCCCTCCGTTCCTCCTCCCGCGAAGCCGAAGCGCGGGCGCCTCCAATCCTCGCGTTTTCGCCTTCACGAGATCTTGCGTACGTCACCGTCTGTCGCCATCTTGGACCCTGGCTGAGCAATAAATTCCCCGGGCCGCCGCGCGCACTCCTTCTCGAGGCGCGCCTCTCCGGGAGAGAGCTCGGATCCCGCGTCCCCGTCCCGGCCTTGCAGTGCCGGTGTCCGCGTGGCGCGGAGCGAGGGTAGGCCCCCGCGTTGCTTCTTTGCCCGGCTCCAAGATGGACGGCGGCGGGGACGGGGGAGGCCGCTCTGGGGGAGCACGTGGCGTGCCGCTGGCCCGCGCCCGGGGCTGCTGGGATGGTGGCGGAGTCCAGCGGCCTCCAGCCGCCGTCCGGCAAGGAGGCCGGCGGAGGCGGGGCCGCGGCCGCCCCTGAAAGGCGCCCCGGCGGCGGCCCAGCCTCTTCTTTCCTCGCACAGCCAGACAGCCCCTGCTCGAGGCCCGCGTCGCCATGGCCGCGGTTCCCGAGTTGCTGGAGCAGCAGGATGAGGACCGCAGCAAGGTGAGGTCCTCTCTGCTTTGCTCCCTCCCTAGGGCCGGAGGTCCCGCCGGCCTTTCTGGGGTGCCTGTTCCTTGGGGTTTCGGGCGGTCCTCGCAAGGGAAGCGCTTGCAAGACTCGGAGCTCCCTTCCACCCCATTCCCTTTATAAGTGTTTTCATGTGGGGGTCTCTGCACCCTCATCCTCTGGCCAGGTGGGACCCCGATTCTTGACAGACGCTCTGCCAGTCTTTTGATTGCGGCTGATAACCTGGAGGAGACCTTTCCTTAGGAGCGTGTTTCAAGATTCCCGAAACTCAACTCCTTGGTCATTGAAAGCGAATCGGAGGCTCGCTGGCGATTCCTACTCCGTTTTAAGAAAACGGCCTTTTCGTTTAAGCAAGTGGGAAAATTCCATCAAGACTCTGTAGCATGTTTCTTGCAACTTAAAAAAGCTTTTTGTGTCCTTGCGGGAGTTGTAGTTTTTAGTAAATCCTGTGTGTTAATCTAAGCCCCGGGCTGCAAAATATCTTGAAGTCGGGTGCAATAAATGGAGGTTACTATGTAGGCAATTAAAGATCCCACTTTATTGGTCCTCTAAATTTGAGTTTTGCACAAGTAAGTTATGAGTCACAATTTTGTGTGCAGAGTCGTCAGTATAGTTTTTCCAACACATGAGTTTAAAAGGAATCTAAAGAACTATTAGGAGCTCTTAACATTTTAAGAATGCCTCTATTAGATTTTTTTTTTTAAAGTATTTGAATGGACAAACTTTCTTATAGTAAGTAAATACCATTCTGGAACACCAGTTGGATTGTTCCAACAACGGTGCTGTTGAAACAAGGGACTGTATTGAAATAGAACTTTGTACGTGATGTTTTATTTCTTTTACTCCAGAAGAATTAGCGACTTTTCTCTCCCCTAGCATTTATAATAGGTACTGGGTGGGATTTTGATGGCATTTTTTTTTCTCGTTTTCTGATACCTGTGTCCTTGTAACTTGGAGTAGAATGAGCTATGTAAGAAGACTTGATCGCGTCTATATTAATTCCTATATAAATGTAGTTTTAAAATGAATTCGCTGTCACCCTGATCCAGCAAAATTGGAGATGGTTAAGGGTTTAATGCGTGCGGATACATACCTACAGTGGAGAGAATTACATAGCTTTTGCTTCCTTCCCGTTTGAGTTAGAGAAATAGAGGGAAATTACTGCTTATATAGCACGTGGTTTCGTTTTTGTTATCTGACCTGTACTAGGCTGGCGGATCTGGTCTGGGTGGCAGAAGTTACCTGAAGGAAATTTGGCAAGTGTCAAAATGGAACTGGAGTCCAAGTTGGGCAAATTTGTCAACTAATATATTTTACAATTTTATTTAAATGCTCTAATTTAGCTTGTCATTTCCACGAAGGTGTAATTCTTGAAGTTGATCTAGTTACTATTTCCTGGAATTAAACTAATAATTAGAATTGCGGGGATGTTAGTGAGAAATAGAACCCTGGAACTCAACCTCTATGCCTAAGTGCCTTGCACCTTTTTTGTCAGGCTTCCAATTACTGAAAGTCATTAAGTACTTGACATACCAGATTCATTGTCATGGTGGGGTCCGTCTAATTTAGGGTAGACAGGTGCAACAGCATTGTTTGTGTTGGGGTGTTGAGATTGTCCCTGGATAGTTCTTCGATTTTGAAAAGCTTGAGATTTTTTTGACTAGATGGAAGGGGTGTTCCTAGCCTGAAATTCCAGCTTCCTGGGGTAGAAGGCTCGCTTTAAGGCCAGCCTGGACTAGCTAGTGACACATTAAATCAAAAAAATTTTTTTTGAAAGGGTATATCCCTTTAATTCCAGCGTTTAGGAGGCAGAGGCCATGGGATCTCTGGAGACCAGCCTGGTAGATAATGGGGTTATAGTGAGACTGTCTCAAGAACAAGAAAACTCAGAAAACAGAAAGTTGAGCCTATTTTAGCACTCAATTCTACAGCCATTTTTAAACTAGGGATTCTCCTTGTTAGAGGGCTGGGAATGTACCAGTGTAACTTGTCTGTCATAACATGTGCAGTGCTCTGAACCCAATCCTTAGTGCCTATAATTGACTGGAACTTTGTCTTAGAGGATTGGTTACGTGGACTTAATGAAAGGACACCTGTGCTCCCCCACCTGCTGCTGTTTCTCTATAGACACTTGTGTTAACTGTGGTGGTTAGCCTTGAACTTTGACCAGTACTGTAACTAATCTAAATTTATCAGTTTTGTGCAGTGGAAGTTTTGCGTTGCAGTCATAGGACTCAGGAAGTGTGGCTTCTCAAAGCTGCCTACGCCTTAGTTCTGGATCAGCAACTGGCACATAATATCTTAGTGTCCCATTTGTGAGCAATTCAGCCTGTTATGATGTATTCAAGTTTTTGCTGTGTAAAGTAGCGTGCCAGCTTTTAGGTGATGTTCTGGGTTTGGATTAAGTATGATCTAAGTGCTTATTTGATGATATTTTATAAGTGACTAGCATCTGATCTAGAACCTCATTTTAACTCGGACTCTGTCAAATTGTTTTGGGAGCCTGTCTTTTTCATAGTTCATAGCTGACAGTTTGACTGGAGATGACAGTGGCCGCCTCTCTTATCTGTAAACATTGTCAGAAGTCCTTTGGCACTGAGCAAATTTACCCTTAGCTGAAAATCATGAGGTTAAGTCAGCTTTCTAAAATGGTGTCATGAGTGGGGTGAAGTTTGCCAGTACTGCGAGGGTTTAGATCTGTGGTTAATGGATTGTGAAAGGAAATAACATGCTACATTCAACTTGGATTGGTGACTGTTTGAAGCCTTTTCCAGATATTATCAGGAAATTTGCCTTTAATTTAGCATTACGTACAGCTGTGTTGTCAGTGCCAAGGTTCCCTTGCTACTGCACTCACAAAACCTTGTCCCTGAAAGACAGTACCCGCAATGCTAACACTATTCAGAAGCTTAACCTTCAGGATCAGGGTATTGGTCAGCATAGGCTGCCTAGTGGACTAGTAGCACGCACATACTTTTAAAAAAATTATTCTGCCGGGCGGTGGTGGCACACGCCTTTAATCCCAGCACTCGGGAGGCAGAGGCAGGCGGATCTCTGTGAGTTCGAGACCAGCCTGGTCTACAGAGCTAGTTCCAGGACAGGCTCCAAAGCCACAGAGAAACCCTGTCTCGAAAAACCAAAAAAAAAAAATTATTCTGTTTGGACATTATGTTGTGTTACAAACCTGAATGTCATAAGTTAGTCAGGTGTTCTAAAATGTAGTATGGTTACAATCTTGATACCTTGTGTTTTTTGAAAGAGTGTTTCTCTGGGACTGTATAACAGCCCTGGCTGTCCTGGAACTGCTTTGAGACAAGGCTGACCTCAGACTCAGAGATCTGCCTGCCTCTGTTTTCAGAGTGCTGGATATTAATTTTTGTAATCAGAAGGGTACTAACTACAGGGCAGACATCTTGTGGTAAACTTAACTTCAGTAATACATAAATTGAGAAATTTTTCTGTATGGTCTAACTTTTCAGTTTGTGTGGACATACGTGGAGTGGAAGTCAGAGGACACTTGTGGGAGTTTGTACCCCCCACCTGGGGATCTATGTTCAGGTTGGCCACAGGTGCCTTCTTGCTGGGTCCAGCACCTATTTCCTAGTAAGCCATCGAAGATCCTTTTTCTAGGAATCTAAAAGGAGGGAAGTGGAATCTTTTGCAATTATTTGATAATTGTCCAGATAGCTAAGATCCCTTGACATGACCCAAGGTAGCAATTTGCCATAATCTGACTAGTACCTGGGCTTGCAGCCTTGTGAAATGATGATTATGTTTATCCATTCGCTGAGTACGCTGCACTGACCTTCTTCCCAGTCTCAGTTCCTGTTTTGGGAACTTGGGGCTGAGTAGGCTCCAAATGCCCTGCTGTCTGCAGTGTTCTACTGTGGATTGCTTGTGTGTTGGTAGACTACTACTGGTAAGAATGGCTAGTGTCAGCAGGGATGGGCTCTCCGGATTCCATCTCACCAAGATGAGTGGTGCAAATCTGATCACTTCCTGCAGCCCTTCTCGTTCACGTTCATAAGTTATTTTTTTACATTTGTTGTGTGAATGGGCACCTCCCACTTGCAGAGGTAAGAGGAAAATGGCCTGACTGGCTGAGAGAGTATAGTGCCTATGGATGCTTCAGTTGCTTTTTGTGCACTAGTACCACATGTATTGACAGAACACATACAGATGAATTGCATGAATTTAGCTATCTTCGGAATAGGAGTAAACAGTAGGATTGATATTTGATTCACTTAACACAAAAATTTGAATTTAGGACTGTTACGTATATGTATGGTTTTCTGCATTAGAAATGGGAAATAGAAAAATTATTTAAATAAGAACAAGTATTTTTCTTTTGTGCTACTTTTTTTTGTATTGATCAAATGAAAATGGAAATAATTGGGAATGACACTGTGTATGACTAGGCCCTTTTCTCTCCCCCAAGGTTTTTTTGTGTAGCCCTGGCTCTCCTAGAACTTGCTCAGATCAGGCTGGCCTCTATCACATCTACATGTACTGCCTGGCGCTGTATGACTTCTTAACACTTTACAAAAGCTGGGCTAGATTGACAAAGCATTTTGATTGTATGGCACCTGTCTAAAGGAGAGCTTGCAAGTACTTTGACAACCTAAGCAGTTGGTTACCATGTCTCATTTTTGTTTCTCCTGTGTTCTGAGGTTTTGAAGTCATGTCTTAAACATTCTAGCTACTTGGTATCATCTGGCCTCATGCCACAGCCTTGTAAGTACTGAGACAACCCTTTTAAAGCTTTACCAGCAGTGTTTTAATCCTTGGAGGCCTGCAGGTCTCTTCTTGAGTTCAAGGTCTACATAGCAAGTACCAGGCCTTCCTCACCTTAAAGATATTTAACAATGCTTCTTTACTCTGGTGAAGTGGATAAATATACTTGCTGAGGGATAGATGTGGTAGGGAAATATTAAGTTTGTGCGAGAGTGGATATTGTTTTAAATTTGCTCTACAAATATTTTAAAGGGTCTCAGCAAGAGGTAACTATAATAAAAATCTGGCTTGCCCAAGGTTGGATTTGGTTCTGAAGCATGTTACCAACATGGTTACCTTCCCACTTATGATTTAAATGAATCTTCCCCTCTATCCCTAAGGCATTTGTCCCAAATTAGGCACATAGTTGGCCAATACTGTGAAGTAATCTTCAGTACTTTCATGCTTCAAGATCCAGGGAAAGGGGCTGAGTCAGCCAGGAATAGGGCTTGCTTTCAGAAGTTCCCAGCATCCATGTCAACAGCTCTGCCTGTGACACTAGCTCCAGGGGATCAGATCTGGCCTTAGCAACAAGAGGACAGACCAATAGACACAAACTCAAAAATTTTTCTTTAGAAGGAAGATTCATAGGGTCCGGGCTGAGGATACTCCGTAAGAATCCCATGGCAATCTAACAAAACCTACAGCACCAGGCATGAAAAACCTGGTTTCTAAAGCACGCTTACCATCTTTGAGAGGTTAATCGGAGTCGTCTAAGACATTCCCCCAAAATAAGGCTATTGGTATTGCCCCTGGTTGTTCCATGGGTAGAGGGTAAGTCCCTACTACTACTGAAGACACAGGGCCCAGAGATCCTCTGAGCTGGAAAGGACCTGATAGGAAAGACCTTTGAGTTTTCATGGTACAAAGAGGTGCTCTGCAAGTTTCCAAAAGAGAGAAGCAATCAACATTCCTGCCCACTATTGTACCTATGAAGCATGACTGCCTAAACATGACCTGAACAAAATAATTTTATGTTGGGTTACCCAACACGAGAAACTGAGTATTAGTTAGCATTAGGAAGGTTGAGAACCACTGAATAACATACTAACTCTAGTAACCTGGATTATGTGACTTTAAAAATAAGGGAATGAGCCAGGCAGTGGTGGCTCATGCCTTTAATCCCAGTTCCTGGGAAGCAGAGACTGGCTGATGCTCTGAGTTCAAGGCCAGACTGATCTACACAGTTACTCAACAGGGCAGCTAGGGCCCCACAGAGAGACTGTCTCAAAGGAAAAAAAAAGAATAAGGAAGTGATTATTCAGAAGTATGGGCATTGTTGCTGAGTTCAAGAAAATACACCCAAGAGAAGTGTCTTAAAGATAGGCTGCCCTGTGTATTTACTAGTACTGCCATTTCTGAAACCTGGCTGTTGGTTTTATTCCTATCCTAAGCCCACCTGACCATAACAGTCATGAAATATGAAATGACAGCTTGCCTTTGCAGTTTATATGTTGATAATTTTTGGAGGCTGTGTCTACTTAATAACAGAAAAGGAAGGTTGCTTATCAGAAATGTCAGAATTAAGCAAAGTTATGATTTTAAAATTCCCTTGAACTTCAGGCTTTCAAGTGTGTTCAGCCTCTTGGCATATACTCTGGTTAGAAGAAAACTCATGTTCTTATAGTAAGCTTATTCTGTAGTCTGTAAGTGCATATTTTTTAGCTGTGGACTCTGCAGGGATCTCAGATGGGCATGTAGGAAACTGAGCAGAGTGCATTTGGGCAAACTGGTGCTTATGCTGAGGTATCAGATATTTTTGGTATGGTAGTATTTGTATAAATTTCGTTTTTTCGAGACAGGGTTTCTCTGTATCTCTGGCCTGGAACTCACCCTTTAGACCATGCTTGCCTTGAACTCAACAGAGGTCCACCTGCCTCTGCCTTCTGAGTGCTGGGATTAAAAACATGTGCTACCACTGCTAGGTAGTTAAGTATATTTCTGAGTGCCTGACTTTTTTTTTGGAAAATGTTTTCTAAAACTATTATATTTCATATGGTATATGTTGAATGTATTCATACACACCAGCTTCTTCTATAACCACCTTCCCTTATCCAACTTTGAGATTTTTTTTTTTCTTTTCCCGAATCAAGTCCAGATTGTATGGCCCAGTTTGATCTTAGGAGTGGGACATGCCAAACTCAGTTTCAGGGATATGAAGAAGAAAAACAGCTGGGTTTAGTGAATTTTGAAAGTGTTTGCTTTTATTGGGGTCATTTGTTTTGGTGGTGCTAGAGTTTCAGTTCCTAGATTTATTTAGAGGCCTTTCTACCCAGGATCGTCTTGCCTGAGAGCGACATCTCTGACTGTGCCAGTCTGAGCTAGTGTAGACCCTTTTTTACTTGGTAATGAAGGGATGGAAACAGGGTCTCATGTAGCTCTGGCTGTCCACTTTGTAGACCAGGCTGTCTTGAACTCAAAGAGATCTGTGAGTGCTAGGATTAAAGGTGTGCACCACCATGTCCTGTTACTCTAGACCTTATAGATCTTTGGATGGTATGGCCGTTGGTCACATCATTAAAGAACACTTGCTGGCTTTCCCACTCCCAGTGGGAAATAACTCTCTGAACTAAACATGTGACTGGTAATTAAAATGTATTTCAGCTCAGATCTGTGTCTGTGGACCTGAATGTTGACCCTTCGCTTCAGATTGACATACCTGATGCTCTCAGTGAGAGAGATAAGGTCAAATTTACAGTGCACACCAAGGTAAGTGATAGAATAACCTCTATTCTATAATACTATTATAGGTTGCCTTTTCAGATGAATGTGGAAAGAGATTTCTTGAGCTGAAATGGTTAGTGTTTTTAGGGGTAGTTATGAAACTTCTGAGAACTTGAGCTTCCGTCTTGCCTGTGGAGAGTTCCTCTCCACGTGTTGTGCTTCTGTTGGTTCCTGCCTGCTGGGGTGGAGCCCTTAACAAGCAGCTGTGCAGCTCAACCACTTTCACAGCTTTAACTCTCCCTTTTGCTTTTCATTTGCATATGAGGTAAATCACTGGGATGAAAAGGAAGCCAAGGACAATTTCCAGAGCCTTAGTAAACTGGTAGAGACAATGATATGTTGATGTTCTGTTTGTGACTGTAAAGTTGTTAACTTCCTAGAACTTTTACTACACAGCAAGCTTCTAAAGGTCTTGTGCAGAGTATTTCCTAGAGAGAAGACTGTTAAGCTACCTAGGTCTGTGGTATTGATTGTGATGCTCCCATTGTGAAGCCTAGGGAATGAATCTTTATCTAATGGTGGGTAACCACTTTTTCTCTTTACAGACCACGCTGCCCACATTTCAGAGCCCAGAGTTTTCTGTTACAAGGCAGCATGAAGACTTCGTGTGGCTGCATGACACTCTTACTGAAACAACAGATTATGCCGGGCTTATTGTGAGTTCATTTTAGTGAAAAATCAGATTATTTAACTTGTACCTTGCTTTTTATTTAAAGAGACTGTATTTTGCAGTGGTTTGTAAAAATTTTATTTCCTCTGACTATTTTTGTCCATTAACTGTTGAAAACATTTAAAATCTGACTAGTACAGGAGCAGTGAGCCTACAGACAGGTCTGTGCTTATTATATAAGTAAGGCAGAGTCTTAACTTTATTTTTGGTTTTTCTCATCTGTCTTATTTATTTTGAGACAGGGTTTCTCTGTAGCTTTTGAACCTCTTCCTGGAACTAGCTCTCGTAGGCCAGGCTGGCCTCGAACTCAATGAGATCCACCTGTCTCTGCCACCCAAGTGCGGGAATTAAAGGCATGTGGGACCACCGCCCGGCTTCTTTTGTCTTTTTTAACAATTTATTTTAAAATCTGTGTATTTGTGTCTGTGAGTGTGGATGCCCACAGGTCAGAGGAGTGTCTTAGCCCCTAGAGCCGGATTTTACAGTGCTTGCATCTACTATGAATTGAACTTAACCACTGAGCCATCTCTCCAGCCTTCTGGGTGTCTCCTTTACAGCTACCCAAGGCACCAGTAGGATTAAGTTACAGGACGTCTTGAGTATTAGTATGGTAAAATTCCTGAGTGGTACTTAGAGTGACAGAGACAGTTGGCAGAGCTTGTGGCTAGATTTTAAATGGTTTAAAATGTATATCCTGTCCAGCTGAGCAGAAGGAAGAGTGTCCTGTTAGTGATTTCTCTCTTGTTCTTTGATATGGGATCTCAGCTCAAGATGACCTGGAACTTGAGCTATCTGTTCCTGGGTGCTGTATACCATAGTTGTCTGTAAT